ATGATTAAACACCTCCCAGCTGAACTCCTGCAGGAGACTTGCTGTCTGTCGAGCCGTGTGCGGCCTAGCGTTATCACTGACCGCACTTCACAGTCGGCGGGAGCTGGAATAAGAACCTCCATCTTCAACAGCTGCAACGATGCTACTGTGAGAACGCGGGAGGTGCCGTTAGTGCATGCGCCATGCTACGTCATTACTCTATCACGTACGCACAGTCGCTTCGCGCAATATAAGGTTTGCTAGCTGTGGGACGAGTGGGAAACTTACTTTGTGGACGCGCCTCGTAGCTTATCAAATATCCTTAATCCTCAGTAAAATGATGGATTCTGTACTGCTGATAACACACGACATTTAATGTTATTTATTTTCATGGTTTTACAAACAAAAGTCTAACAGATTAAAAGTAAGAATTAATAAAATAATTGCCAATCTAGCCAATCATTCAGAAATATTAAATACACGTGTTTTCTGTTAGTACGTAAGTTACTGTGTTTTGCCAACTTTTACCTTCAGCTGAAATTCTTTCTATTTTTAGGGGCCGATTGGGCTGGATGGTCCAAAAGGAGATCCAGTAAGTAGTTAATGTTTCACCTAGTAAATTATTTTAAAAAATTGTAGGATTTCAGGTTTTCACCGCGGCGAGTCTCAAGATTTCTGTTTTTTTTTTGTTTTGCGCTGTGTAGTCTTGTCGATGTTTCCCAACGTTTCAGAGGTCATGCTGCCTGCGTCATCAGGCCCTGATGATGGAGCCAGCATGACCTCTGAAACGTTGGTGGAAATCTACCAGACTACACGACCCAATAACACAGAAGACAGCAATTTTTGATTTTAAAAATTACTAACCAGTGTGCATATTTTAAGACACTTATGTTTTCAGTGCAGCTGCACCATAGCCCATCTACTGTTCAGTCTTTTACTTATTCTCTTACATAAACTTTTGCTTTACAAGTAACCATATTGGCACATAAGATATTTTAGTTCGTACTTGTGCATTTATTAAAATGTTACTTTTCTGCTGAATATCAAGTATTCATGTCAACTGAATGTGTATGTTCTCTTAATAATATATACAGTTCTGAATAAACCATTGGATTAATACGGCGGTGATTTTCATAGAGGACTCTGCAGACTGTCTGTACCAATTGATTTGTAACCTTTGAAAGCTGTGATGGAACAAATTTAGCTATAATCTTCGTCTTCTGTAAATTTAATTTCAAAATCTCTGCACATACTTTTACAGTTATGCAGTAAACCGGAAGTCTCCTCTCAAATTCTGTTCCCGGAAAACACACAAGAGTCATTAGTTAATGTGAACATCATGCATGATTATCTTTACTTCTAAGAAGATGACCGTCGTTGTGGGATATCGTGCCATGTATTCTCATAGAAACTGACTGACATTTCAGAGGTGCTTACTACCTCCATCAACATCCTTGTCGTTGGCCTGATGACAGAGGCAGTATGCGTCACTGTAATGATGGTCAATTTGTATGAGATGACACAATGCAACATCTCATCAACTTTATATCCGCCACCATGAGAACCTGAAATCTCACTATATTTACTGAAAATTTGGGCACAAAGAAATTATGTCAACTGGAAAACTGTACAGCACAATTTCTCGAAGTTCCTTCATTATTTTGTGAATGTTTTCAACACCAGAGGTTATAGATTACTGTAACCTGGTAAGTTCCATATCAGCGATGTGTTGTTTATGGTTTTAAAAAATGATATAACAGAGGTAATCATTTTCTGTAATAATTTGACGAGCAGTTCATTTATAGGCGGTGAGTTTCATTTTTTGGAATAATCTCCAAATTAATAAATGTGTGAATGAAAGTAATTTCAGTAGGATTCATCTGAAGTAATGTCCTTCGGTAATTGTCTTACTCGGAAGAAACAGGAAGAATAATTAGTGACGACCAGAAATATGTTAGAAAATTGAGCCCCCTTGGTTAGGCACTAAATTCTGTGTAGGAGATGCTCGCGTGCTACGGCGATATCGCACGAAGACCTATTAATATACTTGGGTAACAAAGGCAAAATTTTTGCGTCAATATTATTACTTTATAATTCTCAACACAGTTTTTGCATTTCCAACCTGTGACCTTGCTCTCCCACTATTTATAGGGTAGACCAGGTGATAAGGGACAGAAAGGTGAACTGGGAAGTCCTGGGTTTGACGTCTTCTCAGCAGTCAAGGTAAGAGTTTAAGTCATATTACTTAATTTTTTTGACATACGCTTCATGCATTCAAAAGGAAATAGATGTTAAAAGTATTAAATAAGGCACGACAAGTGACAGTCAGAAATATTATGATCCAACTAACATGCAGGATCTATCAGCCAATGTTCGTTCACTGCCTGTGATTCTGAAGTCTTACATACAATTCCGCTGGTAACATCTAAATTAATAAAGGAGAAACAATACATGTAAATTAATTGGAATAAAATAATACAAAACCAAAAAATAATAGAACACTTGATCACTATTATATGCATCAGGATACAATGCCTTTTGTTTTTACCCACAACTCTTCTTTATCTTTCAAATGTTTAAGTTTCCATGCATTCTTTTACCTGTTGTATAGTGGAGAGGCCATGACTGTCAGGCAGAATTCATTTCTAAACTTTTATTATTAGTGTTCTGTCTGGCGACAGGTCCATATGAACAGGATCCTTCCATCCTTTTCTCGGACTTGGACCTGTTCATATACGTTCTTGGCAGATGATCCAGAAGTGGTTTGCCATTGCCTTCTTCTGTGACGACAGGTCAGGTCCATATGAACAGGATCCTTCTTCCATCCTTTTCTCGGACTGGGATCTGTTCATATACGTTCTTGGCAGATGATCCATAAGTGGTTTGCCATTGCCTTCTTCTGTGTGTGAATGGAGTAATTGTTGGGATGCCACGGAGGAAAACTCCGTGTTGCCTAGACCACGGCCTTGCCCAACACAAGTTATAAATTCGAACCCGAGACCCCAGGATTACAAGGCCAGCGTTCTAACCGCTAGACCACCGTGGCGGCATTTCTAAACTATATAATGATAAATCAAAAATTGAGTTTTGTATGTCAGTCATAGGGGCTGGGGTAGCTCAGTCATTGTAGTGACTGACTACAGACTGGATGACTGGGGTTCGATCCCCGACGGGGGCAGAGGACTTTTCCTCTAGTCTCTGCGTCTGGACCGGCTCTGGGGCCCACCCAGCCTCCTGTCCAATAGGTACTGGGGGTATGACACTGACCACTCACCCCTATCTAGTGCTGAGGTTAAGAATGCATAGGAGCTATACCCCCTATCCCCCCCCAAACGCCAACATGGCGTGTAGCGCGAGAGCTTTGTTTTTTGTTTTATTACGTCAGTCATATTCCAGATATGCAAATTAAAACTGAATATGAAAAGTATTTGACCCTTTCAGATTTCATTTACAGGAACTAAGTGATATTCAAGACACTGACGATAAAATATATTGTCAAATAACCAAATGCAGAATTCTGTATTGATATTAGTACATTATAACTGTATCATTTCATCATCATTTATGCTAAAATATGTATTTGTAAGCAATGTTTCTCCATTCTAACAGTAATCTTTCATTACATATTTTATATATTATATATAATCACTGAAATAATCTATAAGAGGCATTTGTAATAATATTAAAGAAAGAATTGATCTCCAAAACATGAGAAAATCCGTACATTTTAACTATTCAAAAGGCTTTTTCATTTAATTTATGTATCCATTTTTTGTTTTGTCAGACGATCGACATAATACACGTGAACGTGATTTCAGATACAGAATTTGTACACAGTTGACTTCTTTAAAACAAGAGTGTTGAATGGAACATTACTATTAGATCCTGTATTAGTGTACAGAAAACATCTACAGTAATTTCATATGCTGTTTAATTTAATGAAATCAATAATCTTTAACAGAGAGAAAGTTGTAAAGAAACTGTGAACTAGAATCAGTTTGTAAGACTTGAGGTTCTCACAGCGGTGAGTATGAAGATATCCGTCTTCTGGGTTATTGCGCTGTGTAGTCTGGTCGATGTTAACCAACGTTTCAGAGGTCATACTGCCTCCGTCATCAGGGCGATGAATATGCCAATAGGGTGTGAGGAGCTGGATTTATAGGCCGGGAAGTTAAAGGTGTAGCCTGCCCCGAGCCAATGGGAGCAGGTATGGGAGTGGACCAATGGTAGCACGCGCAATAACCCAGAAGACGGATATCTTCTAGAATCAGTTTGTGTGTTAATGTACAAACTGTTTTTTTTAACAGAACTTTAATGAAGACGTTTACTTGTAGTGATACTTGAAAACTGTGCAGTGTGTTTTCTACTTAAAAAAATTATGATATGCTAAATCTGACCTGTATCATGTGTAAAATAAACTTCCGAATTCAAATAAGCCAATTGTGAGGTTACTGAAGTATTTAAGTTCATATAATGTTGCAAGTTTTCTTCTCTCTGAAGGGAAATTCATTCATCAGACATAATTTTAATGGGACACGGGTCTATTTGCAGGGATTAAAACGCTCAGTGACCACTCTAAGAGGTGGCACGTTAGGCTATGCTGAAATAGTTGCTGTCAAGGTGAGATCAGATTGTTTTCACATGAATGTTGCTTTACCTGTAGTTCACTAACAGTGTCTATTTCAGATACCTAAGCTGCACCCTTTATTAACATTTTATTTATTTATTTAATTTTACTGTCAATCTTTACTGTTTATGTGTTTCCTCGAGCTATGCACAACAAGCCTTATTATGTTGCAATGTATTAATAGTTTGTAACACACAACTGTATTTCTTAGTAGAAAATAATTTGGTGGGTGTCTTGAGAATGGGGTTTGTAATCACATTATCGGGTAGTAACATGTAAAATTCAGCCCAACAACAATCATATACTATGGTACGAAAATTAACCAGAAGCTGGTCTACCGCCATGTAAAAGACTCTCCCGACCTCTTTACGATACCCTAGTACTCCAGTTGCAGTGGCCCACTTATGTACAAGCAGCTAAGCTACAGCTGAGGAAGATTTCCGTCTTCTGGGTTGTTGCGCTGTGTAGTCTGGTCGATGTTTACCAGCTGAGGACCTCATGGTACGAGGTGCCTCGGAATATGCATTACAAATTTTAATGTGTAGCGTATGCAATAATCTTGGTATACCGATACTAGTATAATGATTTCATACGTACCACGTTCATGTTTATTTCTTAATATTCCCTACATTCAGAATAACAAATGTATATTTTGACTTTCAGATTTTTTGAGGCCTCTTTAAACTTGACATAGCTTAGGGCCTCAGAAGGCCCCGGCCAGACGTTCAAAGCTGCGCAGGTGTTAATTCTGAAACATTACGTTGCATCAAAATTTTGTGAAGCATTTTGCAATGTGTGTCCTGACAAGGAAGTGCCAAATAAGATAACAATACACTGTCTGGTAACAAAATTTTAGGACACAGGAAGAAATTGTCTGTGAAAAATGCTCTTCAAGCAACAAAACAGCTGAAATTATGGCTGTACCAATTTCAAGATGTTGAAGCCACAAGGCGTAAGAATAAATAAACTTTAACCTAAAATATTCAGTATATGTTACGTATGAAGGGTAGCTGGTTACTGTAATATTCTCTAATGAACGAAATTTGTTTGCTCAATGTCTTTAACTTTTGATAGATGTAGGTATCTGAAACAGATCGAGTACCAAACAAACACAGAAAATGTTATAGTTATGAAGTTTAAGGATAACAGGATTTTTGTAACCATGCCACAGTAATTATTCAACACATCTCCAAAGAGAATCCCCCAGTTTTGAATTTGTAAGGAACAAGGGCACTTTATTCTTTCTGGTATATACTTGTATAGTTTTAAAGTACTTTCGTAGCGGGTTATGGCCATGTTGCCACGTGATTTAACATATGTTAACCCAACTTAAATGAGCCGGGATAGCTCAGTCAGTATAGTGACTAGCTACGGGCTGGACGGCCGGGGTTCGATCCCCGACGGGAGCAGAGGATTTTTCCTCTAGCCTCTGCGTCCAGACCGGCTCTGGGGCCCATCCAGCCTCCTCTACAATGGGTACCGGGGTCCTTTCCCGGGGGTAAAGCCGGCAGGGGCGTGATGCTGACCACTCACCCCCATCTAGTGCCGAGGTCAAGGAAGAGAGGAGCTATACCTCCACTCACCCCAAACGCCTACATGGCGTATAGTGGGACAAACTTTACTTTACTTAACTTAACCCAACTTAAAATAAGTGTCATTTTGATTTCAAGTTCCCATTATAAGACAAACCCTTACATTTTTACAATTTTAATGTGATCTTGGTCATTTAGTTTTTAGTTGTATCACGACCTCCTTTCTGCCAGTTTAATAACAATCATATAACTCATCCACAGTAAACAATACTTCTAGGGTCTCCAAGAGCACGGGCATAACATATCAGTTCAACAAATAATTACTCTCAAAGTAAGTGTAGTATTAGGAATGAAGTTAAAAGAGAATGTTAAACAATCTATGCTACCATCACTGTGCTTACTTCTAAAAGTAATTTAATGGCTGCAAAAATCAGTGATTACTTCAAAAATGACACTTTGCTTGTAAACTTGCTTAAAAACTGGCCTTCGAAAGACGACCGTATTGTTAAAGTAAGGAAGTTTCGTCAAACAGAATCAGTATTCAGCACCTGCAGAAGTTTATCGAGATTTATGAAATGACTCTTCTCACTGTGATTTGCATGTAAAATTACAATACTTTTGGTCTGTTTCTTCACAAATTATTCTGTAATCGCACTAGTAATTTATGTAAATTATCTGCTGCTTTATGATTTCTCAACTGCACGTGTCGTACAGCATCATAAGACAAGATGAATTATTATATTATTATTATTAAGTGTTCTGTCTTACGACAGGTCCATTGCTCTGCCCAAACAGAGCTCTCCAGTTGTCCCTATTCTCGGCTTCTCGCTTTAATTCCTGGAACGTCATCTTCTTTCCTTGTTTAAGGCTGTATCAGTCTTCTTCCCAGTCCTCGCTTTCCTTCAACCTGGCCTTCGGTGATATCACTCAGTAACCCATTCCTTCTCATAATATGTCCCAGCCAGTTAGCTTTCCTTCGTGTAATCGCCTTCAGAATGTTTCTTTGCTCGTTGACTCTCCTCAATAATTCTTCGTTGGTCACTCGATCCGTCCACCTGATCTTCTCTATCCTTCTCCAACACCACATTTCAAAACTCTCCAGGTATTTCTGTTCCTTCTTCCTGAGTGTCCAGGTCTCTGCTCCATACGTAACACTTCACTAGTTTCTTCGATGAATTATTATGAATGAATAATTGAGAAGGGTTTGGTAGGAAGGAGTCATGGTATTTTTTTAAATCACTATCCACGGACTTACGAAACTTGCATAGTTAAAAGAATGGGAAATATTTGTTATTCATTTCACAGCTGTCATCACTGTAACTCCTTTCCAAAATGCTGAAGATCCGGATATGCAAAACAATAATTTTTATCATTTTCTTGTATGAGTGTGAAATCTGTTCTCTTATTCTGATGTTAAGGACAGAATTCACAAGCATCTGGAAATGCAGTGCCCAGAAAAATGTATTAACCTATGAAGAATTAATTAAGTGAACATATTACGATTTACATAATGAGGAACTTGGTAACTTAGTGAAGTCAAAAAGGCTATGACGGGCTGGACATGAGACTAGGACTGAAGAGACATGAAATGCATGCAGAGGTTTGATGGGAAGCCTCTTATAAATTGGTCACTTGGAAGACTGAAGGATATCACAAACATAGAACATAATATATGTACATTTACATGGATCATACATTATGAGGATGGGCTCAGGATTTTGTGATGGCAATGTCGAAACTTCAGGTTCTGATATCAGATTGTTGTTAGTTACTTAATTCAACAGCACTATTAGAGAACTGATAAAAAAAAAGACCTCGATGAAGATTCAAATATGAAATCTCCTAAATTCAATGCAGAGTCTACACAGATAATTTACGTATAACCCGAGCTGAACTGCTTATACGTCCTAGATTACTAAGAGTGCCCATCATTATAACAAACATGACGTGGGAATACTGCTGTGATGGGGATGACAGCATCCCCTTGGCAGATTCATTCCCAGACAGTGACTGCTTACTCCGATGACGAACAAAATATTGGCCACCAAACAAAGCCTGAAAAATTACATTAAATAAAAGATCCAGTTTTATTCACAGCTAATAAAATATTCTTCAGTCATCATAACTGTGAACTTCAAAAAGTCATTCATAGTACCACAGAAGAGATTTCAGATGATACTGGACAGGTGTGACAGTAGGAGATGTGATGGAAGACAATTTGGAGATGGCTCTGCGTACACGTCTATTGCGATATAATAAATACAATTCATACTTCTGTCTTTACTGTTTGAGAATCCAGGAACAATCGCTCTCACTGACCCTCATAAGGTCTACTTATAACATCAGTTGAGCAAAATCTGAAACTATTTTCACGGTAAACTATACGTTTCATATTAAACGATTATTAACTTTGCATTCGGATTGCTGCAGGCTTTCCAGTCAGTATTTGCATGAGTTTCCAGTATTAAAAAGCATTTAACTGTAGTAAGTAGCAATATCAGAGTTTGGAAGTGTAGAATGTTCCAAAAATACCTTTCTTCCTCGATTTTCAGCTGCATTCTGTCTATCTGCATGCTGTTCCACTGCATGTTTGTGTTGCATGTCCCTTCCGTCTGATATGCAATTTTTTTTTCTTAAATGTAGCGTAATGATTAAGCTACCTTGTAGTTGAAAGCATCAATATTATGAGAAAAAAAATTGTGAACTTATTCAAAGTAACATAGTTTAACTCATGTATTCAGACCTTGACATATTACTTATTTACGAGGCGCGTCCTCAAAGTAAGTTTCCCTGGGGCCGTTTACAGAAAGAAAACACAATTTCATGGAAATATTTATTGCGACAGATACAGCAAGTGTCCAGCTATTTTTCAACATATTCGCCACCGGATTTGAGACATTTGTCATACCGTGGGACCAACTTTTGAATACCTGTGTCGTAGAAGTCTGCCGCCTGGGATTGGAACCACTGTGTGACAACCATCTCCGCCTCTCTTTCATTCTCAAAACGCTGACGCTGACGCTGACCGGACAGGAATTTCTTGAGGTGTAGGAAAAGATGGAAATCACTGGGAGCGAGGTCCGGGCTGTAGGGTGAATGATTAAACACCTCCCAGCTGAACTCCTGCAGGAGACTTGCTGTCTGTCGAGCCGTGTGCGGCCTAGCGTTATCACTGACCGCACTTCACAGTCGGCGGGAGCTGGAATAAGAACCTCCATCTTCAACAGCTGCAACGATGCTACTGTGAGAACGCGGGAGGTGCCGTTAGTGCATGCGCCATGCTACGTCATTGCTCTATCACGTACGCACAGTCCCTTCGCGCAATATAAGGTTTGCTAGCTGTGGGACGAGTGGGAAACTTACTTTGAGGACGCGCCTCGTACATATGAAATATTACTTAACATTGGTTATGTTATTTCATATTTAATATCACAATTTATGAGATCACATGATAACTAACTCCATGGAGTGAATTCCTTCTTCAGAAACTAATGAAATGTCCAGCTAGTCAATAAATTACCCATATTTTATGGAACCTAAAAGTTCATTACCATATTCACAAGAGCCTGTCACCAATCCTTACGCTGAGTGAGGTCATTAGGTTCACTGGCATGCGTTTGTGATACGGTATAAACCTTTGGGTTCAAAATCGGAAGGAATTTCTTTATCAGCTGAGTGACTATCATCATCCATCCATGTAATATCTTTAATCATGGAGATAGTTATTTTATACTTTGAAAGAGATTAAGAAAAACAAATGAATGTTAATTGCATGAAATCAGCTAAAAATCCATACTGAAATTTATTTCCAAGTCTGTTAAACAATGTAATATGTTACGGATTCATATTCGTTTCACATACGAGAAGTATTTGTGTCATGGGCTACGACATTTCTTTCGATAGACAAAATATCTGTGATATGATGAAATTAAGCATATTTTTAGCCCTCTTGCTGTGACATGCAGAACGACACTTCTTATACATTAAACTGCCTATTCAGTTTCAGTGTTTCTTTAACTTTATCACAACAAATTAACAATACAAGATTTTTAAGATAGTGTAATTGCGTCATATTGTGAATATTCTAAACAATTATTTATTTTAATCCGTCTTATCACAATATTTAAAATTTCTTATAATTAAGATAATAAAATATCATTGATGTTCCATATCGATTGATCGATTTACATTTAAAATGTAAATCGATCAATCGATATGGAAAATCAATAATATTTTATTATCTTAATTATAAGAAATTTTAAATATTGTGATAAGACGGATTAAAATAAATAATTGAATACAAGATTTTAGTGAATAACAACTATGAACCACTTCACTCAAGGGTGAACCTGGTGAACCTGGACCTCCTGGTCCACCAGGACCTCTCGGTCCTGAAGGTCTTCCTGGACATGATGGGAGGCAAGGGATACCTGGAGAACCAGGCCCACCTGGTGAAAGAGGGTCTCAGGGACCCACGGGACCTATCGGACCTGCCGGAGCTCCCGGCACGGCCGGACCTAAGGTTCGTATAAATTGATCTCATCCTCGATAACCTACGCTTATTGACTGCTATAAGTGCAATTTTGTTTGTAAATATTCATCATGTTAATGGCATTGCTTACAGGGAGCAAAGGGAGATTATGGGGTGATGGGACCACCAGGATTTCCAGGGCTTCCTGGACAACTTGGATTGCCTGTGAGACTCATACTTTGATTTGTTCATTAGTCAACTAACATTACTATTTGTGAAAATATGCTGCTTTCTTCTGAAGTTGGTGTATCCTGTTGCGTATCCATATATGGTTCACGTTGTTTTACGATACATTAGTAATATCTCCAAAAAATAACTGCGTTCTCTAGTCATATGTGAGGTTGTACTAATATCTGTCTGTTTTTCTTAAAATTCATATTCAAATAGACGTTTATGGTTATGAAAAGAATGAGAATTCTTCTGAAAGCAAACATAAGATTTGAAGATTTTATGGTGACTGACTGCAATGAACCAAAGTGTTACGATGACCGAGCTGGGTTGCACAGATCAAGTTAACGCACCGAAACCTTGTAAACTGTCTTATCTGCAATTCAGAATGGACGTGATATTGAAAGTTGCTCCTAACAGCTACAAGTTGATTCTTAAAATACTTAGTATGTCCTCCTATAAAAATGAACGGCAAAGTATTATTTTTTGGAGATATTTTATAACTATTTTAATAGCTTGCAGTATATGATGTTAATAATTCACCCCATTTTCTTAACACCTAGGGAATTCCTGGAAGAAATGGATCCAGAGGATATACAGGGGAGCTGGGTATGCCTGGCCGGCCTGTAAGTCACAGCTCCCACGCTACTGCACTACATTGAGCATATTGACATAAAATATTTTAAAATGGTGTTTGGCTACAGCTTATGTTTCTTATTTAGATTTGGTGGGCAGTTCAGAAAACTTCCTCTATTCTGTACTTCATTAAATAAAACTTTAGAAAAGCCTTCTCTCAGTCGTGGATGGAATTAATTAAATGCCTTGAAAAATTTAGTTATGAAGTTTGGAATAAATAACATGGCTGAAGATGTAAAATTTATGTGCCATTTCATGAATATGTAGAGGAAGACAGAAGTAGAAGCTTAAAAGATTTTTAAGACTAGCACTAGATGGAAGAATGATCATCTTCATGTTCCAGAAGCTTCATTCACAAGAAACAGCCTAGCCATTCCCTTTACAGCAGATAATCTGTGCCTTATTTCCTAAAGTATCAGTCACTTAAACTACAAGGTGATTATTTTGACGGATCATAACATTTGGAAAGTTAATATCTACAAATTTTTAATTTACGGTGTTTAACTCCTCGAATCAATAACGAGTTGTGAATCAGAAGGATAATTGGAGAAGTGTCAAGAACACTATATTTGAAATGTCAAACATAGAAAATTATTAAAAAATGTTGCAGGAGAAATTGCAAAAAGAAAAGTTCACACTTACATTTATTTTTACGAATTCAAAAATTATTAACGAATCTTTGGGGAATCAGAATAAAATTAGTAGTGGAGAAGTAGATCATATATTTTGTTGCCTTAATATTTTTGTCATGAAGTTCAGTGTCTTCCAATGCACATTATCAAAAGAAAAGATTGAGAATTGCTGATCTAAAACATAACCTAACATAACCTAAAAACATGCTTTTGTAACACCTGACATATATGATCATGCTAACCAATCTAATGTTTATATATTACTCATAACTAATGTCATAATATTCTATTTCACAGTCTTAAGTTTGTCTTCTTCATATTTCAGCCACTCTTCTAAATAATTATTCATCTGAGCTTAACATGTTCCCTAAGCACATAACTTGTTTGTAACTTACAGTATTCATTCCTTTACTCAACAATTAACCATTGTCATATGGGAATAGAGAATTTAAACCCCTTTGTTTCAACATTGCCAGCCAGACTGAGCAAAGCCATAATGCTGAGAGAATAATGTTTGTTTAATATTTTCTTTCAGTGGAAACATAGTGCCGTTTGCAGAAATTGGATGTTTGTGACACAAAACATTTTCTTCATAAAATGAAATGTGTGTGAGAGGGAGGGAGATACCACATTCTCTCATTACAAGCACGAAGCAGCATGCACACTTCTGTTTCTGCAGTGACTTATGACTAATCCACTTTCATTTTCTTGGGGTACCACTGCACCTTGATTTACTGCAATATTTAATGTAAATGTAGTTTTTCTACGTAAATATGTTCATCATCATCTTGAAAGCAGTTCTTAATTCAATAGACCATTGCACTTGTAGAAGCAAAAGGCAACTGGAGCTGACTGTAGTCACTATTCTTCTCATAATATGTCCCAGCCAGTTGTTAGCTTTCCTTCGTGTAATCGCCTGCAGAATGATTCTTTGCTCTTTGACTCTCCTCAATACTTCTTCGTTGGTCACTCGATCCGTCCACCTGATCTTCTCTATTCTTCTCCAACACCACATTTCAAAACTCTCCAGGTATTTCTGTTCCTTCTTCCTGAGTGTCCAAGTCTCTGCTCCATACGTAACACTTCACTAGTTTCTCCTTCATCTCCAAGCCCAACTTGCTAGTGAGAAGTATCCTCTTCTTGACGAAGGCCATTGCTATCCTTGCTTTTACTTCCTTGGTGCACAGGGCGTCCGTCGTGACTATGCTTCCCAAGTACTTGAAATGCTCCACATTCTCCAGCTGTTGGTTTCCAATTCAGATACCACATATTAACTGATTATTGTCTTTCATAATAGACCTTTCTTTATATAATTTATTTCAGGGATTATGTACATGCAGTATTTTCCTAAGTGTATGCGTCAAAATTGAAATTAGTTTTCTTTTGGTAAACACTGATGGCAGGAATAAAAAAGATACATAAATTCAAGAATTTATGGATATCAAATGTCATTAACAACTAAAAATGTTGTCATCATCATTGACAGTGCACCACATCTTAGACCAAGTGACCTGTTATGGTTTCGTGCCACTGTTTGTAGGATCTCCCAAAGAACACTGCCCATTTGGCTGGTAACAGAGGATTTGCAATGAGATTCTTGAGCAGGGCATTCAAAGAATATTATTTTCTCCAGTCAGCAGTGTAATTTGACATTCCGTGGCTTAAATACTGGTATCTTCCATAAGACATCGCAACGTACAAGAATGACGATGATATCTCTACCACCCACTGTGAGGACCCCAAATTTCATAGCTGAAATGAGTTTCATGAATGTAATCTCAAATATGATATAATATCAAGGTATAAAACGGTGCTGCATTGTAGTACATGCACATAGTAGGCCTTCCATAACAGTATTACCATGGCAACAGTTTCAATATTATCCCACAAAGCCCAAAATCTCATCACAGCGAACGATTACAACAAACACTGCTTATTAACTAGATAGACTAGCGGAGTGTCCACAGTGTTACTGCAGGGAAATCTGACAGATGATTAGTCTACATTTATTATCAACTGTCCTTCCCCAAAAGTATATCACAGGCCAGATTATTTATAATTATTA